ACGGGCCAGGATCTCAGCACAATCATGGAGAGGAGCCTCCAAGTCCGGGTCAGGCAGCAATGTAGCCGGGTTTGGGGTGGTCGGGGCCTGGAAAATAATTCTGGTAGGGTTGAGTAGCAGAGTCTGATAATGGGTCATGTGGGCATTACTGAGCCATCGATCTGGTGGTTGCTTTAGAACTCCCTCTATTGCATGAGGGTTGGTGACGGCCAGCTCTTGCCCCATAGACAATTTATCTGCATCCTTAACCAGCAGGGCCACGGCCGCAATCATGCAGAGGCATGGCGGCCAACCGGATGCCACCGGGTCCAGTTTCTTGGAGAGGTAGGCCACAGACCAGCGCCAGGTGCCTAAAGTTTGGGTGAGGACCCCTTTGGCAATGCCTTTATGTTCATCAATAAATAAATGGAAGAGCTTGGTGATGTCTGGTAGCCCTAAAGCGGGGGCCGACAGTAAGGCCAATTTTAAGGCGTCAAATGCCTGCTTGTGTTCTTCGGTCCATATCCAAATGGCATCAGGCTTTTCCTTGGTTGCCTCATAGAGTGGACGGGCCCTTTCAGCGAACCCAGGGATCCAAAGCCGACAGAACCTCGCCAATCGCAGGAATTCCCTTACCTGCCGAGCATTGGTGGGGTAGGGATCCTCAGGACCGTTTCTTTTCTTGCAGGGGATAGCCAGCGCTTGCCTCCTTTTAGGATATATCCTAATATTGGACTTCTTTTTTATAAATTTGGGCCTTCTTGGCCGAAGCCCGATATCCCAGTTCTCCCAGAGTTTGGAGTTCACTGCTGGTTAGGCAGGCATCTCGGTCTTGAGCAGCTATCAAGAGATCTTCTACATATTGTAAAAGAGTTAGCTGGGGGTGTTGGGAGCAAAACTCACCCAGGTCTTCGTGTAAGGCCTCATCGAAGATGGTGGTGGAGTTTTTGCACCCCTGGAGCAGCCGGGTCCAAGTCAATTGTCCATTTGTACCTTGCTCGGGATCGATCCATTCGAAGGCAAAGTATTCCTGGCTGTTTGGGGCCAAGGGGAGACTAAAAAAAAGCATCTTTTAGATCCAGGATGGTGTACCAGATATCAGTCAGTGGAAGGGTGCTTAACAGGGTGTATGGATTGGGCACTGTGGAATGGATGTCCATGACTCACTTGTTGACTTCTCTTAGGTCTTCGATGGGCTGGTAATCATTAGAGTGGGGCTTACGAACTGGCAACAGGGGTGTGTTCCAGGCCAATTGGCAAGGCCGTAATGCCCCTAAGTCCAGTAATCACCTGATGTGGGGAGTTATTCCTTTTTTGGCTTCTAGGGTCATGGGGTATTGTCGGACTCTGACCGGTTCGGTTCCTGGTTTGAGTTCGACAAGGATTGGGGCCTGATGCTTGGCCAATCCCATGCCACCTGTTTCGGCCAATGCTGTTGGGAACCTCTGTAACCAGGACTGCATGTCCGACTCTGTTGGCCGAGGTTCCTCATGCAGGCGATATTCGTCTGCCAGCCCTACAATAAGGACGTGTATGGGTTGTCCTGTCTGGTCTAACATTTTTGTCCCTTCAGGGGAGAAATGGACTTGTGCCCCCAGTTTTGTCAATAAATCACAGCCCAGAAGGCGGTAGGGGCACTCTGGGATGACCATAAATGAGTGTGATACCCACAGTTCTTCGGGTAGTCCATGGGTATTGCTTGACTCCTGTCGCTCCTTGGACCCATGACCTTTTGGTTGACAGTGGACCCCCCAGGCTGTAGGAGTACAGAATGTTGGGCCCCTGTATTGGCCAGGAAGTCTGTAAATTTCCCCTCCACTTGTAAGGTTATCCTGGGCTCGGGGAGGGGCACTGAACTCTGTCCCCTCTAGTCACTGTCTTCTCCCATAACTAGGATGGGGGCCTCAGGTTTCGGTTTCTTTTTGGGACAATCCTTGAATTAGTACCCCTCTTCTGCAATAGGCACATTGGTTGCGGCCCACGCGGGGTTTTCTCCCAGACCTTTTGGTTTCCTCCTTACCGTGTTCTAAGGAGGCCAGTTGCTTGAGACGGTGTATTCAGTCGTCTGGATCTGCTGTGGCAGCCAGCAGTATCTTTGCCAGGTCTCAGTTCTGTCTCTTTTCAGCCCTAATTTGTTTATTTTCTGCACTTTCTCCGTTATTATATACCCTTTCTGCCACAACTACTAAATCTTGGAGACTTTTTCTCCGCGTCTTTCTAACTTTTGAAGCTTGCGGCAGATATCGGGAGCCACTTGATTAATGAAAGCCATGGCCACTGACGATTTATTGGATTCAGCCTCTGGATCCATGGGAGTGTACTGGCAAAAGGCTTCCATTATCCTTTTGAGGAAAGCTGCGGGATTTCCTCGGAACCCTGACTAACATTATAAACCTTGGCCATATTAGTGGGCTTGCGAGCTGCAGCTCTGAGACCTGCCAATAGAGCCTGGCGGTACCCTAGGAGGTGCTCCTTACCTTCTGTTGTGTTGTAGTCCCAATCTGGGCGGATGAGGGGGAAGTGCACGTCAATACATGCCTGTTCTGTTGTGGGGACCCCAGTGGGGCCAGGAACTAATTTCCTGGCCTCACTCTGGATGCGTTCTCATTCCTCGGTGGTGAAGAGAACCTGCAACGATTGCTGACAATCGTCCCAGGTGGGCTGATGAGTAAAAAGGACAGTTTCCAACAAATTAGTAAGGGATCTAGGATTCTCAGAAAAGGGAATATTCTGAGATCTCCAATTATAGAGATCACTAGTGGCAAATGGCCAATAGTGGTGTAGCTGATTGCCTCGGGCATCAGGGGGAGGACAGTGGAGTCCAGTCCTTACAGGGTCGCGCTGAGGCGGCTCCTTGTCCTCTGGGCAGGGCCTCCATTCAGTCCCGTGGCTTGGACCAAGGCGCCAGCTAGTGGCTCCGGTGGTAGCTGTGGCAGGGCTGCTGCTGCTGCCTCGTTGACAGGGGCCTGTAAAGGGGATTGGTATGGGAGTGGAAAAATCAACTCTTCCTCCATTTCTCCCTGCAAAATGGGGTAAAGAGAAGCCGAGGGTTTAGACTCAGGTTGTTGGGACTTAGCCTTTCAGGGCGGTGCCTGTTTCTCAGAAGTAACTAAAATAGGGGCCGATGCAGAGGAGGGTGGCATCCGGGGAGGTAAAAAATGTTTAAGCCATGAAGGGGGATCATCCATCAAGTTGGCCCAGACTACAATGTATGGAACCTGGTTCGGGTGGCCTGTGTGGGGCCGAGAGACCTGTTGTTCTACTCGGCGGATAGTATCCCAGTTAAAAGTTCCCTCCGGAGGCCAACCGACGTTCGGGCCTGGCCATTCTGAGGTGCAGAGAGTCTGCAACTTTCCCTTTTTAGTTTCTATGGAGAGATTATGTGCTTGAGCTTTAACTTCCTTGAAATGAGCGAGCAACAGGTCTAGGGGTGTCGAGGGTGTCTGTCCCATTTCGGCAATCTCAGTCGCCCAATAATAAAAGTCTAACAGACACAACTGACAGCCACAGACACACAAACACAGAGACAGATAACAAAGTTCACTGTGCACGCTGCGGCAAAGAAACTGAAACTGAAACTGGAATTGGGACGAAGGCTTTGGGTTGGATCGTGGGCACAACCTGCCTTGCCCCTCTGAACCAATACAGAATACAGGTTAGGGGCAGTCCACTGGACACTTCATCCCCTCCGATACAGAAGGAGCCCAGAACATCTTCCAGGTCTCCCACGACCATGGCCCCCAACACGTCCGCCTTGACCACCTTTGGTCGCCTAATACAGATTTGTCTCGAGACCAGAGTTACACAGATAAACACAACAGAAAGATTCTTACCAGCTGGTTGGACCTCCGGTTGGGGGTCCTGGGGATCTTGGGGCATCCCAGACGAGCCCCCAATGTTATGCCTGATTCGCAAGTCCCCAGAGACCACCAAGGAACCGACACCAATAAAACGCAGCAGTGACCGTGTAGAGCCTTGAACTCGTGATCACAGGGCTTTTTATTGTGATTACAGTGGAATTTGGGGCATTCCAGCTTGGCAGCCTCCTGATAGGTACAGGCTGTCTTGTCAGCACCTGATTGATTCGGCCCATCTGGCCTGACCGCAAACTGCCAACTGGAACGTCTTGGGACATAGGCACCTCTTTTAAACTGATCAGCTGTTGCTGTTGCTAGGGAAGTAACTAAGGGCAGGCTGCCTAGTTACTTCCTGCGGTTTTTCCTGGGACTGGGTTTGGGCCTAGTTCACTCTCAAGATGGAGGCTTTTTCTAAAATGGAATCAGATTTAGGTGTCACATGACCATTTAAAACATCACAGCAGCTGTGTGGAGGAAATGCTATTAACTCTGCTTTATGGAAGAAGGAAACTGAAGCCCAGAGACGGTGAGTCTTGCCCAAAGTCACACAGGTAGAAAGTTGTAGAAATGGAACTTAATTCCGGGCAGTCTGACTTCAGAATCCATGATGTCAGCCGTTCTGTGATGCTTCCATGAAAACCTGTACGCTGCTGCATGATTTAAGGATTCATATGAAAAAGTATTTTAAGGGAATGAATCTGTAGGGCTGATATAAAAATGGAGATGAATATGGGAAACTCATCTATAAGATCCCAAATGCAAAAAAGCAAGACAAAGTTCTCCTTAAATATGGAAGCATTTTTTAATGTTCATTTATTTTCGAGAGGAGGCGGGAGGAGCAAAGAGAGAGGGAGACAGAATCTGAAGCAGACTCCAGGCTCTGAGCTGTCAGCACAGAGCCTGATGTGGGGCTTGAACTCACAGACCATGAGATCATGGACTGAACTAAGTCAGACGCTTAATTGACTGAGCCACTCAGGTGCCCCTGAAGCATTTTTATACCGTATCGCCTCCAGACACCATAACATGACTGTATCTACATACTTCTGTATAACAGTTGTGAGAGAAGGAGTCACTACTGCTTTAATCTTGTGCATTTTCTTTCTCTGAAAATAACGCCATCAGTCATACGTGGCACCCATGCTTTCTATTTTAATTTCACAGATGAAAGAACTCGGTGTCATCTTCTACAACTGCAGTTGCCTGGTCCTGGATTTACAGAGGATATTCGCTCTGTATAGCTCATTAAAATTCAAGAGCAGAGTACCCCAGACCTGGTCCAAGAGGCTCTATGGAGTCTATGACAATGAAAAGAAATTGCAGCTTCAGTTGAACGACACCAAATCTCAAGCATTTGTGTCGGTGAGTCACTGCCCTCTTGCTCTTCCTCTTCCTTCTTCCGAAGTTGGAATGTTCCAGTGTGATCCTGCGCTGGGCAAACCTGAATTCTAAATATCAGTTCTGTCCCACCCCATGAAGAGGTAAGATATACCCACTCTTTTTAAAAGAAACTTTTTTTTAAATATTTTTTAAATTTATTTCTAGAGAGAGAGACAGCGTGAGCAGGGGAGGGTCAGAGAGAGAGGGAGACACAGACTCTGAAACAGGCTCCAGGCTCTGAGCTAGCGGTCAGCACAGAGCCCGACGCGGGGCTCGAACCCACAAACAGCGAGATCATGTCCTAAGCGAAAGTCGGACGCTTAACTGACTAAGCCACCCAGGTGCCCCTAAAAGAAACTTTTTTTTAATGTTCATTTATTTGTGAGAGAGAAAGGGAGAGAGAGACAGAATGCAAACAGAGAAGGGGTGGAGAGAGAAGGAGACAGAATCCAAAGCAGGCTCCAGGCTCTGAGCTGTCAGCATGGAGCCCGATGTGGGACTCAAACTCACAAACAGTGAGATCATGATCTGAGCCGAAGTCGGACACTTAACCGACTGAGCCACACTGGCGCCCCAAGATACACCCACTCGTATGCCTAATCATATGCTGCCCCTATGATAATAACAATAATGAATGATAATATTCATGCCTAACTTCTGATGCTTAATGTTACTGATTTGATCCGTGCGGTCATCTGGTAGACCCAGCTTTGGGACCCTGTTGCAAGCGAAGGGATTGAGGCTTATATACTAGCACAAAGACCCTCAGATGGCAGGTGCCAAGACAGGCACCAGCTCCCAGGCCCTCTGACACCAGATCCTAATTTCCATGTCCTACTTCAGTGATTCTCAGGCTTGTTTTTAGCAATAGAAACCTTTGATGAAACAAATCTGAGGAACCCCAGTGTGTAAAACAGATAAAGAAAGAACTGTCGAACTTGATGGAGGCTGAGGGAGGAGGCACAGGAGGGCAGGGCACAACTTCAGGCCTCTGACCTCACTGAAAACTGCCACTCCCCACCCCCCACACCCACCACTGCACCGCTGTCCCACAGGGTCACTGGGAATGGGCAATGTGAGTATCTGTGCCTACAGCCCTGGTCCCCAAACTTTAAAATTTAAGAACTGGCTGGGGAGCCTGTTTAAAATGTAGATTTACATGGGGCACCTCGGTAGCTCAGTTGGTTAAGCATCCAACTCTTGGTTTGGGCTCAGGTCATGATCTCACAGTTCCTGAAACTGAGCCCTGCATCAGGTTCTGTGCTGACAGTGCGGAGTCTGCTTGGGATTCTCTCTCTTCCTTTCTCTCCGGCCCTCCCCTGCTTGTGCTATCTCTATCTTTCTAAAAAATAAATAAATAAACATTAAAATAAAACAAAATGCAGACTTACAGCCTCCCACCCTTACTCAGGATCTGATCCACTGGACCTGGGGTGAGACCTTAGAATTTTGACTCGAAGCAGCCTTCTGAATTGATCCTGGGGCTTAGAGACACTTCTTAAGAACCATGGTCCCAAATTCAACATGCTGGTCTCCCTTTGACAAGAGTGCTTTTATGCCAACAATGTTTATATCACTGAAGAGCATGTCCCTGAAGAGTGAATTCTGTCTTTTTGACTGTTAAAATGAAAGCACAGTCTGAAAATTTAGGCACGTAGCAATTGAGACAAAAGAGGATGTTGAAGTTGTTTGCCTGAGCATATTCATATAAATGCGAATAGCAGAAAACAGACCGACAGATTTTCATCAAACAAAGCAAAAAAACCTTTTCTTTTTAATATGTGGAGGTCAGCAGTGCAAGTAGCATATCGTATAGGGTGTTTTACTTGCAAAATGACCTCACATATTCAGTTTCATTTCTTCTCAAGAAAACCCTGTAAGACAAGAAGGCTAGATAGCATTCCGAATTTGTAGATGAGTCGCAATAGGAAATTCGCCAAGGGGCCCTTAATGCAGAGTAGGTAACTGGGTGACATGGCGCCCCAAGGGACATGTGCTCAGCCGGCTCTGGCGAACAGATGGGAAGCAGCAAGGAAGAGATGAATTCTAAACAAATTTCGGGGAATTGCTGGATTTTCGATTTATGGTTTGAATCTTAGAGGTTGGTGAATGTGGGTTTTGCATGCATTTAAATTCTCTTTTTTTTAAATGTTTACTTATTTTTGTGAGAGGGAGGGAGAGAGAGAGAGAGAGAGAACGTGTACACGCATGCGCACCTAAGCAGGAGAGGGGCAGAGGGAGAGGATGTGAAGCAGGCCCTACTTTGTCAGCACAGAGCCTGAGGTGGGGCTCAAACTCACGAACCAGGAGATCATGACCAGAGCCAAAGTCAGACGATTAACCAACGGAGCCACCCAGGAGCCGCTAAATTCTGACTCTTTAAAAGGTGGTGGAGTCTCCCTTTGTTGTTCCCAAACTTTACATATCTACCCCAGAAAGAGGGCCCACGTCATTATAAAATCTACAAAAACGCAGACCTTGTTGTATTTTGGGGCAGATTTACAAATTGCTTTTTATCAAACGATTTGCCACAAAATAAGAAGAGTTTTGAAACCTGCCTTTAGGTATATTCTTTTAAAGTATATAATGCCTGTATTTTCTATTTTTATTTATTATATTATTTCAGCTTATTGTTTTCTATTTCCTAGTATATCAAGCCTACCTTTGAATTTCAATTTAACAAAGTTGTAATTAAACACCACGTTTGCAGACGTATAAAATCCTACAGGTATAAAATAAAGTCAGACCCCCCCCCCAATATTGGAATTGGTATCATTTCCCAGAGCTCCTTGATCTCCCTTGTTGTGGCATTTCTCACATTTTCATAGCTTTTTATTTATTGTTTACTGATCATCTCTCCTGCTATTTAAAAGCCTCTGAGAACATATACTGGACCGTCTTGCTCATTGGTATTCCCAACACCTTTCTCAAGGTTCCCTAAAAGCACCAATAAAGGTTGGATTAGCTTTATTAGTAGTAATTTTAATGTAAAGTTCTAGGACACATATAATTTTCTGAGTATTGCATGCCAAACAGATGCCAGGACAAAGGTATTTAAATTCAAAGTATTTGTTGTAAAATATCTTAAAATAGTATATTTTTATAACCCCATAGTCCCAGGGCTAAATTCACACACACACACACACACACACACGCACACACGCACACACAATTGAAAACACAGAGACACATAAAACACACATTAAGATTTACCATTCCCCAAATTAGATGATTAATAACAGTGTTGTTAAATATGAATTTTAAATTATGATGCAAATATGGATCATTTCTAATTTTCTCACAGAACACCAAAGATATGTGGTGAGATTTAACTATCTGATCTCTAATAACTTGGGGCCAGAGAATTCTGATTTTCTTACATTCCCCATTAAAGTAAGAAGACAGAAGCCATGGCTGGTTGGGTTTTTGTTTTATCTTACAGATTTCTTTTTAGAGCCCTTGAGATTATAAACTTGCTTTCCAAGATGAAAACTAGTGCAATGCCTGGGTGGCTTGGTCAGTTAAGCATCCAACCTTTGATTTCAGCTCAGGTCATGATCTCATAGTTTGTGAGTTTGAGCCCCACATCATGCTCTGTGCTGACAGTTCAGAGCCTGGAGCCTGCTTTGGATTCTGTGTCTCCCTCTCTCTCTACCCCTCCCCCATTCATTCTATGTCTCTCTGTCTCTCAAAAATAAATGTTAAAAAAATTTATGAATATTTTCATCACACTGGTGTTACATGGAAACCAACTTGACAATAAACTATTTTTTTAAAAAGAATGGAATAAAAAGGGATTTATCTCAAAAAAATAAATCATCTACTTTGAGGTATTAAAAAAAGAAAGAATATTTTCATCACCACAAAGAAAACAATAGCAGTCACTCTCCATTTTCCCCTCCCCTCAGCCCCTGACCACCACTAGTCTACTTTCTGTCTCTTAGAATTCTCCTTTCTTTAGACATTTCATATAAATGAAGTATATGCAATATGTAGTCTTTTGTAATTGACTTCTTTCACTTAGTATAATGTTTTTGAAGTCCATTAATGTTACAGCACGAATCAGTACCTCATTCCTTTTCACGGCCATGTAATATTCCATTATACAGATATGCCGCATTTTGTTTATTCGCCCACCAGTTGATGGACATTTGGATGTTTCTATCTTTTGTCTCCTGAGAATAGTGTTGTTGCCGTGAACCTACATGTGGAAAGTTTGTATTTGAACACCTGTTTTCAGTGCTTTGAGGTGGCCTTGTTGGGTAATGATGCAGCTCTGTGCTTAATGCTTTGAGAGAATGACAAACTGGTTTCCAAAATGGCCGCCCCATTTTACAGTTACATCAGCAGTTAGTGAGGGCTCCATTTTCTCCACACCTTTGCCAACGATTGTTATTTTCTGTTTTATTTCACCCCTCTGAGTGGGTGTGAAATGGTATCTCCCTGTGGCTTTTATTTGTATATTTTAATTGGCTATTTGTTTATCTTTTTTGAGAAATGTCTATCCAATCCTTTGCCCACTTTTCAATTAGTTTACTTGGGTTTTGTCTGTTGGTTTGTTTGTTTTTTGAGAGAGACAGCATGCGTAGGGGAAGGGCAGAGGGAAAGGGAGAGAGAATCTTAAGCAGGCTTCATACTCAGTGCAGAGACTGATGTAAGACTCCATCTCACGACCCTGAAATCATGACCTCGGCTAAATTCAAGAGTAGGACGTTTAACCAACTGAGCCATCCAGGCACCCCCCTTTTTTTTTTTTTAATGTTTTATTTATTTCTAGGAGAGAGAGAGACAGCGTGAGCAGGGGAGGGTCAGAGAGAGAGGGAGTCACAGACTGAAACAAGCTCCAGGCTCTGAGCTGGCAGTCAGCACAGAGCCCGACGCGGGGCTCGAACCCACGAACCGCGAGATCATGACTTAAGCGAAAGTCGGACGCTCAACCGACTAAGCCACCCAGGCGTCCCTACCCCCGCTTTTTTTTAAAAATTACTGAGCTGTAAGAGTTCTTATACATTCCGCATATAACTCCTTTATCAGGTACACAATTTGCAAATTTTTTCTCCCATTCCGTGGGCTATCTTTTTGTGTTTAATATATTTTAACATATATATTCTGTGGATGGAGTTTGAACATTTTACAAATTGGGAAACTGTTGTAAAATAAATCAGAAGCCTGCTAAGGCAAATATTTAATGGATATGAAAAACAAGTCACGTATGTGCATATATAAGAAACTAATTGATCTAAGAGAGGAACATACTGCCTAGAAGCAAGGTGTATGAAAGCACTTGAGGGATAAAAGGAATCACAGAGTGGAAACAGAAAAGAATCTATTTTCCTTCTCCTTCTCCTAGTAAAGGAGTACACAGTGCTAGGCTCAAAAAATTAACTTAGGAGCGGTAACAGGGAAACTTAACAGCCTTCTTTCTAGTTAAACTATCGGAACCAATTAACTTCCTCTACTGAATCAGTAGATCATTCTTTGTGTTGTTCGTTCGTTTACTTTTGCAAGAAAGAGAGCAAGCAGGAGTGGAGGAGGGGGCAGAGAGAGAGGGAGACAGAGAATCCCAAATAGGCTTTGCACCATCAGCAAGGAGCCTGATGTGAGGTTTTAACTCATGAACCATGAGATCATGACGTGAGCTGAAACCAAAAGTTGAAAGTTTAACCAACTGAGCCACTCAGGTGCCCCTCATTCATTTACAGCTGAAGCAAACATTTTTAAGCTACCAGGATATCCAAACGCTATTTTCAAAGGTAGTGGGCTTTGTACCACATCATCAACTAGCACCATACTTCTAGGGCCAGGCAGATACTGATACAAAGAGTCTGGAAATTTCCTTAATTAACACATGGGGCACCTGCTATGCTCTAGGCCCTGGTTTAGACAATGGGAACATGGGAAACAATATGGCAGGCAAATCCAAATAAAGAACTGCTCACATGTGGATGGAAATACCTAGCATGAAGTAACTCCATTAAGAATGGAGGTTGGGGGAATCACAGAGACCTCCAATGCTGATTAATTTAAGAAGCACCTTCACATTTATTCCACAGATACGGATATGCAGCATATGCCAAGCATGGCATGGTATAAGGTAAAGCGGATGCACAACCCAGCAGTGGCAAATGAATGCAATACAATGTAGCCCATTCCAGAATGAAGCTCCGTGAAGCAGGAATCTGACTCTGATCACTGATATATGCCAGGTGACTAGACTAGAGCTGCAGGATGGTGGGCACATTGTAGTATTTGCTGAACAAATGAAAGCAAACATGAAAGAAAGGCATGCATCCAGCCAGGAACAGGCCAGTCCCTGATTTAAGCCTCAAGGGAAACCACGTTAGAGGTGTGTTCTGATATTAATCCCTTAGGCTGTGAGGCTCAGCAAGTGTAAGGTGCACAGCCGACACAGTGTAGGCTATAAATGCTGGAGCCTGGCCCTGTATCCCCGAAAGGGACTGAAACTCCAGATTTGCAGGATATTAGAGCAAATGTGAAGAGACCAATGACTCCTGTGCCTCAATCTTTTTCCTCCCTGAGCCAAAAACCTAGTTTTTGGAACATGCAGGGAAGTTCAAGAAATTCCTGAAACAGACACATGGGACGTATGTCGGAGCTGGCTCAGGCTCTTGTCTGGAGCGAAGACCCTCAGCTCCACCATGTTAACCTGAAGAACATTGAAAGCAAACCCAAAAGGCTAAGGAAATTAAGTAATTTCAATATTGGATGTATTCATGGAAATAGAAAAATGAGTAAAATACAGTTCCTAAAATCAAGCCAGTGATGGTCTAGGCAGGCAGATGAGGCAAGTGCAAATAATTACAAGTTTGAGTATGGTAAATAATCTAGCAAATCAATCATATTATGGACAGACAGAGAAGGGAGAAGGGGCTTCCGGCTGGAGAAATACAGAAGTTTCATGGAGGAGCTCGTACTTGAGCTGGAACTTGGAGAAAGCATAAGGCTCTGACGGGCAAGAACAGGGAAACGTGGCCAGAAGGGCTGGTGGGAGCAAATGTGCAGGGGCAGACAGGTGAGAGTCAGGCACGGAGGGCATGACAGCCGGCCCAGCAAAGAGACAGAGAAATGGGAGGCCAGGACACAGAGACTGTAGACACACCTCTCCAGTGAGTTCAGGCTGGATTCACAGACACTAGGAATGCTGAGTGTTACGTGTATGTGTGTGCACACATGCGTGTGTGTTTTTACATCATGGTGACAAGAAAATGATGTGGACAAGCCCCAGCAAAAAAAAAAAAAAAAAAAAAACCCTAGATTCTGGTGAGGAAGGGCAGTAGGATTAGGAGGGAGACAACAGGAGCCACTCGAAGCAGGAGCGCCTACCTTGGGGACAGGTGGAGTACCCACTGGGGGTGTGCTCGGGAAAAGGTGTAGGACCGGCACTGGGTTCGGTTGGTTGGCTTGTCTTATCTTTTGTTGTTTTTGTTTGGGGCTTTTGTTTGTGTCTTTTCTTATTTTTATATTAAAAAAATTTTTAATGTTTATTTTTGAGAGAGAGACAGAGACAGAGCGTGACTTGGGGAGGGGCAGAGAGAGAGAGGGAGACACAGAATCCAAAGCAGGTTCCAGGCTCCAAGCTGTCAGCACTGTGCCTGACAAGGGGCTCGAACCCACAACTGTGTGATCATGACATGACCACCCAGGTGCCTCTATTTTTATGGTTTTTTTTTGTGACGGTTTTTTGGCATTAGTTATTTTTAAGTTTATTTATGTTTTTTTGAGAGATTTAGCACCAGCAGGGGGAGGGACAGAGAGAGAGAGGGAAAGAGAGAATCCCAAGCAGGCGCCAGCCTGTCAGTGCAAAGCCCAACGTGAGACTGATTCCCACTACGCTGGGATCATGACCTGAGCTGAAATCAAGAGTCAGACACTTAACCAGCTGAGCCCCCCAGGCGCCCTGGCATTAGTTTCTAAAAGACTGGGAAGCTCATCTTCATTCCAGAAGAAAAATAACTTAAGTGATCAAAAACCCAATCTGATAGTCATCTGCCAAGATGACTTCCTGAGCAGGGAATGCTGGGAAGGGTGTGTGACCCTCAACAGGCTTGTTTCCTGCCTCCACCTCCACGTCGGTCTTGGTTGGTCGTCCAAGACAACGGCTCCATCTCCCTCTGTCTAAGCCGGGAAAGGGATTCCCACTAGCACAGTGAGGGGAACTGTCATGAACGTTGGGGAAGGGACCCAGTACTGCCCCTGCAGACAGTTCCAGAAGCCCCTCCACTCACCCCTGCATAGTGCTAGTCGGAGCAACACAGCAACCCCAGCAACGCTGTTTTCAGTCCCGTGTGGTGGGAAAACAACAAGAAAGCCAAACTACCTCTTTCTAGAGCAGTTTCATCCAAAAACACCTTATGTTTATAAAATGGAAACCACCTTGAGCAACTTGAGGAAAAATACCTCAAGTACAATTTGCCTCTTTGTTCATTTGCTTGAGTCTTTCAGAGAATATCCTCCTTCCGTGTCTCCTGATGAATTTGGGCATCCTAGTAATTCACTTTCCTCTGGAATTACTGATGACCTTTTCACTCCTCTTCCTGGCTTAATGACCAAAGGGGCGGGGTGGGGGGGAGAAGATTTCCACAGGAGTTTTAGATTGTGTTTCTAAAATACTTTTATGGCCACATCACCTTTCAAATGAAATGGCTTTGGGGGTAAAGTGCTTGCTGTATGTACATATGTGTACTACAGGGTAGCACCAGAGAAAATTAACTGCTGTGAATGAGTGTTGACCAGAGTCGTATAAGTTTGAGTTAGAGTACTCTAAAAATGAGAGGCATGTATCTTGAAAGCAAGGATTCCCTCCCAAAACAGACATAAAGTTCAGACTCAAGGCATCTCCCACCGCACCTCGACCTGAACATGCCTCAACGATGATAGGATTGAAAATACATTTGTCTATTCTCGTAAAGAACTGAAAAGCTGGTTTGCAAAAATCTACCTAAAAGCCAAGAATCCATTAAGACAAATAAAACACAACAACAACAAAGAGAAAGCCCCCACTGACAAAAATTAAAACTCTAAAAGTTTGATTTTTGTGTCTTCACAGAATTCTCCCAAACTCTTTTGCCCTAAAAACAGAAGCTTTGACATAGACGCCATCTACAGCGTGATAGATGACGCCAAACAGTACGTGTACATCGCCGTCACGGACTACCTGCCTATCTCCAGCACGAGCACCAAAAGGTCAGTGAGTGAGTAACCTTGACCTAGAACCCAGTCTCCAGGGCCAGGTGCAAACTGTGGCCCAGAGGAAAACAGCCTGGACACTTAGGTGCTCTCTGTTCCCCTTGAGGTTACACGCCTTTCAAATCTCCTCCGAGTGCATTTACAACTTCCCCATGATGCATCTCCTCGCTCAGTCCATTTGAAGGACTCAGGGACTCACCCTACAAAAGTATCACAATCCTTTAGAATGAAGATCGGGTTATTTTCATTTTGAAATTTGTTTGAAAAATAAAATAAATAAATAAATTTTTTGGAAAAAATATATTTTTTTAAAGATTTTTTTAAAGGAATCTTTACACCCAGTGTGGGCCTCAAACTCACAACCCTGAGATCAAGAGTTGCATGCTTCACTGACTGAGCCAGGGAAGCAGCCCCCAAAAAATATTTTTTTTGAAACTTAGTAGCTAGCAGGTGTACCTGAAGGATATACTGAAACTGAGTAGGTCTGGCAAGATTTTCCTCTAAGGAGACATCACTTTGTTGTATTCATGTCAGTCTTCATTAAAGGCTAAATTTTCATATTTTTCAACTTAAAGAAGGAAACTCAGAATGTATATGTTCTCAGTCAATCCATTTCTCTGTGTGAGGAAGAGAGAGCATTTAAAAATGAAGGGATTTTGGGGCACCTGGGAGGCTCAATCGGTTAAGCGTCCAACTTTGGCTCAGGTCATGATCTCACAGTTCATGAGTTCGAGCCCCGCGTTGGGCTCTGTGCTGTTAGCTTGGAGCCTGGAGCTGCTTCGGATTCTGTGACTCCCTCTCTCTCTCTCTGCCCGTCCCCTGCTCCCACTGTCTCTGTCTCTCAAAAAATAAATAAACGTTAAAAATGTAAATTAAATTAAGTTAAAAAATGAAGGGATTTTTACAGTAATTCATCATTGTTTAGAGTGGAAATACTTGAAATAAATTTAGGGGCAGACTGCCCCTAAATTGTTATGTGCGTAAATGCCTGGCTGCGCCCCAGATATTTCCTACTTTTGCTCTCCTTCCGGGAATGCAGAGATTTGGCTACCTGTGTTTTGAATGACCCATTTAAAGCCAGAAAATGTTTCCAAAGAGAGTACAACCGGAGATCTTTTTAATTTGGAAAATTGCAATTTCAAAATAACCCTTTACTGAGGTTAAATGATGAAGTGTGCCCTATCTTTCTTGAATATTTTTCATGTCTCCAACCTCATGTATGCCTAATATGAAGCTTCTTTATGCAAATGGCTGTAGGATTGCGAAAGCGTGATTCTCCCACAAAATGATCTCCCATAATGACAAAGAGTATTTTAAGCTACAAGATACACTATTAAAACATTTTTACTTTAAAATATGGCACATCCTAGGGGCGCCTGGGTGGCTTAGTCGGTTAAGCGTCCGACTTTCGCTTAGGTCATGATCTCGTGGTTCGTGGGTTCGAGCCCCGCGTCGGGCTCTGTGCTGACTGCCAGCCCAGAGCCTGGAGCCTGTTTCAGAGTCTGTGACTCCCTCTCTCTGACCCTCCCCTGCTCACACTGTCTCTCTCTCTCTCCTAGAAATAAATAAAACATTTAAAAAAAATAAAATAAAATATGGCACATCCCTTGAATATTCATAGGTTTTTACCCATATACTTTTACATGTTTTCTATCCCTCTTTTTTATTTTTCTCCCATTTATTTGGTTTGAGATTTTGTTTTACATGTCAACTTCACTTTAGATTTTGAAAAATAATAGATAGGTTTTGCCTGCTTTTCCTGTTATTCGGAATGAGAGTAAGGGATGATGGAATGATGATTTCTTAGGATTGACAAAGCCTTCATTCTATGAAGCCCCACAAACAAAATTAAGATCCTTCATAGTCAGAGAGGAAGGAGTTAGCATAGAGACTCTAAAATATCTTGGAAATGGGGGCGCCTGGGTGGTTCAGTCAGTTGAGCGTCCAGCTTCGTCTCACGTCTTGATCTCACGGTTTGTGGGTTCGAGCCCTGCATCGGGCTCTGTGCTGACAGCTGGCTCAGAGCCTGGAGACAGCTTCTAATTCTGTGTCTCCCTCTCTCTCTGACCCTTCCCTGCTCACACTCTCTCTCTCTCAAAAATAAATAAAACATTAAAAAAAATAAATAAATAAAATATATTGGACATGTAAAAGAGAAAACTAAAAGAATGTTAAAGAACTGAAAACGAATCTGAAACTTTGCATTTTGGTTATTAATCTACCATTTCAGTGGTTATTCAAAGAATAGTTCTCTTATCATACTTAGGATATTTCAAATCCACAGTGCTGTCAAGCATTCTAATGAAAAGTCATCAGAGGGGCCCCTGGGGGACTCAGTAGGTTAAGCAGCCAACTTTGGCTCAGGTCATGATCTAACGGTCTGTGAGTTTGAACCCTGTGTCAGTCTCTGTGCTGACAGCTCAGAGCCTGGAGCCTGCTTCAGATTCTGTGTCTCCTTCTCTCTCTCTGCCCCTTGCGCTCCCCCCACCCCAGTAAATAGACATTAAAAAATTTCTTTAAGTCATTAGAAACGTAAGAAGTAGCTCAAATATCTAGGTTATAATTAAATTATTCTCAACCATGTGAAAAAATATTTAAAAGTTAACATGGTTACTTGTCTTTACATTGTTCTGGAGAAATTGTTTCAGGAGTGCATTCAACTTAAACGAACAAACAGACATTGTCAAATATCGGTGTGTCAGTATGCTACAGACTGAGCTTTTAGTCCATACACTGCTGAACATCCAAAAGAAAGAGGAAAACTTCACATGTTCTCAAAGTAGAAGTGGTTGGCCACATGTAAAAAGATATATAGACCATCATTAAGCAACAGTGTTAGATGTAACTTCTAATTTTCCAAGAAATAAGAAGTGAAGAGAACAATGATGTATGGATAAATAAATCCTGTAGTAAAAAAATCAGAAACCCTATTTCAATTCTTCCTGTTTTGATAATCAAGTGCTATTTCTTTTAGCCATTCTCTTATTTATTTAGGCCTCGGTTTGGGGTTGTTCATTATTTATTTTCTCAGTCACGTGAAACACATCTTTCAGAAGAAAATCAGTAAATGTGTGAAGGAACAAAAAGAATGTAGGCCAGCAGCCAAGAATACTCTCTCCTGGCAAAGTTACCTTTCAGATGTGAAAGGCATTTCAGATGAGGAATAAAGGCTTTCCCAGACAAACAAAAGCTGAGGGAGTTCACCACCACTAGACCTGTCTTACGTGAAATGTTGAAAGGGGTTCTTCAAACTGAAACAAAAAATTGAAAGTACACAAAATTCTGATTAAACTGATAAACAGGCAGTCAGAATTAGAAAACTGCAACTGTTTTTTGGAATAGTATATGAAACTCTTAGCTATATCATAAACGTTAAAGAAAGAGAGCGTTGAAATAACTGTAGCCGCTACAAGTTGGTAATGAAATCATCCCATAAAAAGAGGTAGTTTGCAGCATCAAAAATATAAAAGGAGTGGAGTAAAAGGATGATAGGCTAAGAAAAGTAAGCTTCTATCAGCAGAAAAAGAACTGTTTTTTCTATGAGCTGTTTTGTGTAAACCCCGTGGTAACCACGTGGCAAAAACTGAGAACAGTCATGAAATATAAGGAGGGAGGAGAATGAACCAAATGGGAAAACCACCAATTGGCAAAAGTAGACAGAAATGGGTGGGTGGGGGGGAGATAATGGGAAAAAAGGAAAAGATAAAAAAGAAACAATAGAGAGACAAAATAACCAGAAGGCAAAGGATAAAATGGCAGTAGTAATATATGATTACATATTAGTATCACCCTCAGTAAAAATGGATTGAACTCATCCATCAAAAGGCACAGAGTGGCTGGATGGATTTTTAAAAAATAACAAATATGCTGCCTATGGAGGACTCCCTGCAGCCCTAGAGGCACATACAGACTCAAAGTGAAGGATGGAAGATGATATTCCAAGTAAACAAATGAAAAGAAGGCAGGTGTAGCCATACTTACAATAGACAAAATCGACTTCAAGCTAAAAAGGGTCACAAGAGACAAAGAAGGTCATTACATAATGACAAAGAGGCCCGTAGGTCCAGAAGATATAGCAGTCATAAATATACATGCTCTCAACCCTAGAACATCAAAATATTTTAAACTATTAGTGAGAGATCTTAAGGGAGAAGTAGACGATAATACAATAACTGTAAAAGACTCTAAAACCCCACCATCAGCAATGGAGAAATCACCCAGATAGAAAATCAACAAGAAAATGTTGCAGTTGAATCCAGCTTTAGAACAAATGGACTGCTCAGACATATATAGAATATTCCTCCCAACAGCAGCAGAATACACATTCTTCTCGAGTGTGCATGGAACATTCTCCAGGATAAATCACATGTTAGGCCACAAAGCAAATCTTAGCAAATTTAAGAAGGCTGAAATCATACCAATTATCTTCTCTGACCACAGTGGTGTGAAACTAGAAATCAACAAGAGGAAAGTAAGAATATCTACAAATACATGGAAACTAAACACACTTCTAAACAAGCATGAGTCAAAGAAGGAATCAAAAGGGAAATAAAAAATTATATTGAAAACACAATATGTCGAATATTGTGGGATGCAGCAAAAGCAGTTTCAAGAGGAAAGTTTATAACTATAAACACAGATACTAAAAAATTAGAAAGATCTCAAATAACCTAACTTTACACCACAAGAAAAAGAGAAACAAGGTGAGCCCAAAATTAGCAGGAGGGAGGAAATAATAAAGATCAGAGCAGAAATAAATGAAACAGAGACCAAAAACCAATAGAAAGGATCAATAAAACTAAGAACTTGTTCTTTGAAAAGATAAACAAACTTGACACCTTTAGCTAGACTAAGGAAAAAAGAGAAAAGATTCAAAGAAATAAATTGGAAATGAAAGAAGATACATTACAATTGATACTACAGAAATACCTAGAATTATGAGACCACTATGAACAATTCTACGCTAAGAAATTACATAAACTAGAAGAAATGGATAC